GATTAGTCGACTAATCGAATAAATAATCGGCGATTAATCCATTAATAAAATAATCGTTTGTGGCAGCTATAATGTAGTAACAAAACAGGCTGAGAAACCCACAGAACAAGTTTCCTTCATAAAACCTTGAGTAATCAGTGATTATTCTACAGACTAAATCAACTACACTCTGATTTAAAAAAAAAATACAAATTATTCACGTTTGTCCCCTATTTGTGGTACCCCCTGGATGGACGGCGTCCTTAGCATTTGTCCATACTGCCTATGCCTCTGGTCGGCCCTGACCAGTTAGACTGGGTGGTACTGATTATACAACCTGCAGGAATGTACGGCAACTGACCATATTTAAGCCAAAATTAGCTRAAACGTTTGGATACTATGCTGAGGGTGCTGCCTCCCCAGTGACCCCCCTTGACCCCCTGTAGCAGCAGATGATAATGATGGAGGAGGGAGRTGCMAATAGGACATRTGTCCAGCAGAAATCAATAAAGGTAACACCTTCAGAGCTGCTTTGTTTGGGAAATGAAACACATACTACCTGGCTGTGTGAGTCGGAGTACAGTTGCAGGATGTGGGTTAATCCTTCAGGCCAAAGATGACAGTAGGTTACAGTGAGACAACCTGCTCAGATTAATGTCCATGAGCTTTGCCGTGTTTCTTACAGCTGGACAAACTACAGACACTAGCTTCAAGCTGCTGAAACTGACATGATCAGCTTCAGCTGAAACGTGTTTATCACCCACCTGAGAGGAACCTCCTGGTCTATATTGAGCTCMAGCCCAGCTGGACCCCCCCTAAATCTCAGAAGATTAGGAAAATGGACAGACTGGTGGCAACAAAAGCGAGATTATAACCTCAAGAAGCGAAGTTGTTTTAAAAGAAGAAGGTGTTTACTGTTAAAGCTGGTATATAAGTAAGGAAAAAACSCAACATTTTAGTAAAAAGGAGACCAAACAGTGAACCTCGCTTAGCTTGATTTCCTTACCCCCTTGTGTCTTCCTCCAGGATCCACAAGCTGTCCCCTCGGAGGAAGCTTTTTTTGTTTCCCTTTTCCTCAGATAAATCCCAAACACGCGCGAACTTGTTCTGGTCCCGAGCCGAACCGACTCCCTCTCTCAGGTGAGACGTGGTTTCTGGGCAGCAGCCATCGATACGAACGTGGGCCAACCGCGGAGAAAAGCTTCCTTACCAGAACAATAAAAAAAAAAAAGAGTCGCGCACCGCCCGCCTCTAGTCCACGAGCTCCACCAGGAAAAAAAGACACGCATGCGGCGCTACAGCACCACCTGGTGGTAGTTTGAAGAAGCGCTCACTGCCTCTCAACTTTATRCAATGAGACTAAATGTCTTATATTCTTTTGGGTCAGAACGAGGACTGGTTTAATAAAATTATTATTTTAGAAGCTAAATCTGTCAGAAATAAATTTGGACAGATGTCCTGATGCTTCTCAGTAATCCAGGTAGAAAAAAATCAAAAAGAAAAAATAAGTAGATCCTCTGGATGGGTTCTTCTT